AAGAAGAAAAATATGTTGAAAAATTGACTACAAACACGAAATCATTATCAGCATGGTGACATCGGCTGCACTCACAGAAAATGACTGTGATTTTCAGTAATAAGATATACACATTGTTTGCTATTAAGGTACTCATACCAATCCGTTTTTAAGGTGAATGTATAATGAAGTCTCCTATTCCAATTTGCTCCTACAATGCGCGACATCAGTCAATTAATCATCTTCTCATATCGCGCGCGCTTCTTTTGCTGGAAGAAAATTTTCACTCGTTTTTTAATAAAAAAAGAAATGTTGACAGGTGCTTTTTATGTTTAATGCACATACAGTATAAGAGAAATGTTGATAAGGAGAAGAAATTCTTAAATGACATTAATTTAAGCTATTGTCCGTACGGAGCGCTGTAGTCATTAATATGCTATTTCTTCCCCTATTTGCTATTGACATTATCACGCAATCTCACACGAAGAATTTCGAAAAAGAATGCAATTTCAAGGGAAAAAAATGATAAGCACTGAAATATATAAAGTATATGACGGTATGCACTCGATAGAAAATGCGCCGCAACAGCCGAACATGTCACGAAGTTGTATTAGAAAGGAGCCGAAAATGAATCAACTGGTATGTTCGAAAAATTATTTCTTCTATGCCGCTTCGCAAATTCGTCTGTTTTCTTTCTCAGTTCTACATAAACATTTGACGAATTCGGTCGTGTGCGTGCGGATTTTTTTAATTTTTTTCAAGAACGAAGAAATAAAAAAAAAATATTGAAAAATAAATTTTCTCATTTCGGTTGTTCTTTAAAAGCAATTTCTCATATATGCGGTGGATGGTTTTCCATTCCGTCTTGGATATCGTTCGTAATGGAGAAAAGTCAAAATTTATAATCGCGAAAGGCAATTTATGTTCTGTTTTCTATGCGGCAGTATTTAATGAATATAAAAAAAGGTGAAAATGTTTTAAGTTTCGTCGAGGTGAATATAAAGTGAAGAAAAGAAAATTATGCTTTAAAAAATAATTGTGGTTATAAAATAAAAATAATAAATTGTCAAGCATTTGTAAAACTTCTTGATTTTCCTACAAAAGTTAAACAAAATATTTGTTCATTGACACAATTTAAAATTTCGGAACAATTTGAAAGTTAACAAAGATTTATGAGAGTTGAAAGTGTTTAATTGGTCCTAATCGTTTAGCTATTACAAACTTGTACTTGTTATTAGTTTTTGTGTGGTGAAATCAAATACAAAGTTGAAATTTAGTGAATAAAAGGAAAACAAAACTAAACTAAAAGTAAGGAACTTTATTTATCTTTCAATTTAAATATTTTAGAAGGGTTTTATAAGTTGAAAGTAGTTTTAAAAATTTAATTCTATTTATCTAAAGAATTCTGAAAATCGTCTGTTTGAGAACAAAGAGATTAAAATAAAAATGTTAAAAAATTAAAGATCAAACAAAAGTTTAGCATTTAATTCCAAAAATCTTCGATTTGATTAAATTTCTAAATCATGATTATCAGAAAAATATTATAAAGAAATTTGATCCGAAGGTAAATTAATTGCTCAGGAAAAATGAGAAGATTGAATGTCAAATATTGCAGAACAAAAAGAAAGAAAATCAGATAATCAATCTATCAAAAAACTAAAATAACAATAAAACATGAAACAAAAAAAATATTGAAATTGGACACTAAATGTCAGATGAAGAATAAACAAGCGTAGAAATAAAAATGAAAAGGAAAGAAAATGATTTTCATGATTGTCAATAACGAGTAACAAGTGACGACAGAGAGTAACAAAATAAAAATAAAAATCAAATCAAATGTGTGTAAGCAGTAGTAAACATCAACAGCAACAGTGAAATAAGAGTGGAAATAAAAAAGAGATGATAAATAAAGACAAGTCAGACCATACACACAAAAATTTATATTTATTGATAAAACGACACTGTAAAGCTGTCAATAAGTTTATGTTGTAATCATAACTGTTTGGTATCATTTGGTAGATCAATCTATAGGAACTGATTCTAAAAAGTTTAATTTGTTGCGACAGAAGTTTGAATCATCAAAAATTATAAACATAAATTCTATTTTTTTTTTCTCCATCCGGGATGAATAAGAAATGAAAACATAAAATTTTCATCGCCTGGCGGTTTCTATCATAAATTAAATATGTTATAAATAGTTTAAAAAAATTCTCCATGAGCAAAAAAAAAGATTCGAGAAGTTTTTCTTTAAAATCATTTTTTTTTTAAAAAAAGTTTGCCTTTAAAATTCTTTAAATCTTCTTTCACCCAAAAAAATAAAGAATCTCTCATTAAATATGCAGCCAGATATAAAAAAAAAATTAATTATCATAAATAATTCTAATTAAAGCGTACATACATGCTGCTCCAGATTTTACTTAAAGGCAATAAATTTATTTTTGCGCCAAAAAGAAGAAAGGAAAAGTCTTTAAGAAAAATCCTTCATGTAAAATACTCAATTAAAATCATTCTTTAACCATGAAAACTCGTGGAACAAATTTTCAGGTATTTTTTTTTCTCATTTTTCAAATTATTTTCTTGTTATGGAAATTTACTCCGTCGACTTTAAATTGTCTGAGGTTTTTGTCTTGCTTACTTGTTGTTGATGAACATTCTTCGTCTCATTAGTTTTTATTAAGCAATAAGTAATGCAATTATTTGGAAAAAGTTAATCATTGAACTGATGTGAGTTCATTGTGGATTTTTTTGAAATTTCTACTAGCTACTATTGATAATCATTCAAGTGTCTATATCTTGGGAGAATAAAAGTTACTTCAAAGCCTGTCTTGTCTTAACAAGCCTCGAAAAAATAAAGACGAAAATAATCTGAACTTCTTCTTCAGGCTTCTTATAATGACATTTAAGTTGGCAAAAATTCTTGTATTCCAAATTTACATTTCCTTCATTCTGTACCATCATTTTTTTTTGTTTCTTTGATAGCTTTTTTGCCGTTCAGCAACAAACAAAAGTAGGTATAGGAAATAAATAACAAACGAAAATTTGCCAATTTTTTTTTTGTCTTGTTCATTCTTTTTATTCTCGTTGTTAAAATATAAAAGAGATGAAAATCCACGAACAGATAAAAACTTTTATAGAAGTATACTTATGCAATTATAATACATACAGTCTGACGCTAACGGATACGATTTTTCTCTTTTTATTCTATAAAGGAAAATTTTTCTTGTACTTTTCGAGAAAAAAAAGAAAGTTTTCACTAAGGGCACAAAAAAAATCGCGAATTGAATTGAAATTTTTTTTGTCAAGCAAATTTGTCAAACTTTTAAGAATGAACTTACATTTTTTTAACATCGACATTTTGTCTTTTACAGGGCTTCTCAATTATTTTTTTGTCTTTTGAGATATACTAGACGCTATATTGAAGATTTGGCGGGAAACTAGGTTCTCTAAACATTAGATTTGAAATGAAATTCAGGTTTGCGATATAAGCTCGTGTTCACAGGTGAGAACCGTACAATTCCTCGATAATTTGTGAGGTTTTATTAGAATTTGGATGGTTTTGTTTGAAAAACCTTATAAATTATCAAGGAATTGTGCGGTTTTCACCTGTGAACACGAGCTTATATCGCAAACCTGAATTTCATTTCAATTAATTAAGTAAAATAAACTACAATAGTTCACCGATGTGCTACAGCACACAGTTTAAGAACTACTGCACTCTATTTTATATGAATAATTGAACGAAAATCTCTTATTTTGCTTCTAAAATGTAAACCATAAAATGCGTCATTTCCATTCTCACTAAGGCACAATAAATTTGATTCTCAAACAGAAGGAGAAAAGGAGAACAAAAAAAAAGTTGCTGAAAGGCAAAAGACTTTCCCTCATTTCCTCACACAACACTCAATTTCCTTTTTTACATTTTCAACTGATAAAAAAGTACTTGGTTTTAATTGTAAAAATTAGAAAGTCGAATAAAGAGCTGGAGGTGAATGGTGGCATGGCAGTGTAAATGGAAAAGAATGAAAAAAAAAATCGGAATGAGAATAATTTATTTGCGAAACACTTGCGAAGCATCGTCAGATAATAAATTCCAGTAATTTTCTTTCCCATGCCATATATCAAAAGCATTTCGACTTGAGCTTTTACTCATCCTCTTTTTCTGTGTAGGCTTGGCTGTTTATGTAAGCAAAAAGTAGAGAATCTCTACGCATTCTTAATACTATACATAAAAAAATAACATACCATGAAGGAGCATGAAAACGAAATAGAGATGAGAGCAATTTTTCCATATTATTTATTGTATAACATTAAAGCTGCTTATGCAAGAAAATTTTCAAATTATTTTATTTGTGAATTTTTATGGAAATAATTTAATTGACCGCATATGATTAAATACTTGTGATTTTAATATAAATATCATTCCTTTGTATGGCGTTAAAATTTCATTCAATAATTCCTCGGAAAAAGGAATTTTAAAGGATTTTATTAAATTGGAACCGATTAAAAATGATTTTAATTTCAATATAAAATAGAATTAAATTTTTCATTATTTATGTTGGATTTTTTGTCTGGACAGTAAGTTCTTTATTGGGCATGATCTTCCTTGATGTATACTGGATCTAATAGAGCTGATCAAAAGTTGGCCTAGATGTTGACTGGATCTTATTAAGATGATCAAAAGTTGGTCTATATTTTGACTGAATCTTATAGAATTGTCGACGTAATGACGAGAGTCATTACCATTTTATGAATAGTTTTGTAAAAATATCGATAAAAGTTAACATTTTACCATAAAAGTCATTGTTGATTTTGAATTCAAAAAGTTCTCAAACATTTTCTTTCTTTTGATCTCTGTTGAATGCATTAGCATTAATTTCTATATAAAAATCTTGAATATGAAAATATTATTTACCTTTTACTTTGCAGTCACTGTAATTATTAATTTAAAATTTATGTAAACCCATACAGTTATGGAATTAATCATTAATATACGCCTTTTTCTTCTCTGGTTTTTGTTTCAGATCCAAAGTGAAAAAGTGAAAAGTAAATTAAAGAATAACACAAAAAAAGAGTAAATAAATAAATTAAACTAAAAAGCTTTCATAAAAAAAGAGAGTGGAAAAAGAAGAAAGTAAACAGAAAGTGGAAAAATTTTGTGCTGATTAAACAGAAATTTGGAGAAAAAAAAAAATAGAAAGAAGAATAAAATAAAATATTAACAACAGCAAAATAACAATAAATTTTCGGCCTCTGAAAGAAAGTCAAGTTAAATTGTATCACCCACTCTCATAAGGCAGTGGAAGGAGAAAAGCAGCGGAACCATAAAAGGTTAGTGGAAAATTATCAAAATAAATTTTTCTTCGTTTCTATATTTTCATTTCTGGTTTTGTACAAGTATGTTTACATTTCTCCTTATTTCTGTTCTGCTGGTTGGTTCGAGCTTGTTTTATTTTTTTTCATTTTCTTTTCGGATTTTCTTCAGTTTACTCGTTTTCTTAAGCCATTGCTAAGGAAACAAAAAAATAATATTTGAGAAATTTTATATTAAATTCTCAAAAGATCAAATATCAATATGTGGATTGGGTCTGAATAGACTCTTCTGGTAATATTGGAAAAAAAAGCCGAAAAGTAAGAGCTTTGCTCTGTGCAAAAAAAGCAAGTGAAGTATTAACCATGACCACATCAAATACCAGAAAACTTTTCATTTTCTATACGAGACTAAAAAACAGATGTTTTAATCACATTTCATTTCACCTCGTTCCGCATTCTTCTTCTTACATTTCTTTTTCATGTCCTACAACTGGAAGGGAATGAAAGAGAAAGGGGTTTTTATACAACAATAACTTTTTATTGCCTTGCCTTTTGAATATTCAGAAATAAAATAATAATTTTCCATTTTGTTGGTTTTTCTTTCATTAGCCCCGGCCTTGTATGGCACACAAGCCAAAAAACAACAACAAAAAATTTATTTTATTATTTTTTTATTCATACTGCTCTTGCCATTTTCGAGCCTATTCTAGCACGTAATAATAAAGATAAACGTTTTTATGTTCATAAATTTCTAGCTGTCCATAAGTCAAGTAGAAAATATTACCAATTTTTTTTTTTCATAAAAATGAATTTATGACGACAACAGAGTTTCTAAAAACAAAAAAAAAGAACGGCTTTTAAATTATTTCTAATTCTGACATAAAAATGCGCCATAATCGCGAATTTTAATAAAATAATTTTTTTAGTGCTTCAATATTTTGTTGCCTTGTTACGACGTGACGTATGAAGAAATGAAAGCGTCTGAATTGTTCTGTGTTGTCCAACAACCAAAAAAATTGCGAGATATAAATTTGTTAAGGAATTGTTGAGGATAACAAATTGGCAGACCGCTTCGTTTTTGGGTTTGCAACCATCACCATTCATTCTATCTTCTTTTACGCTGCTTAACTCACTTCTTCCTCATGATTATATCAACTCGATTTGTAGCCGCTTGTTATAATTTTTCATGTTTGTTGTTGCTTCTTCTTCTCGTTCTTCACGCTTCCTTCAACGTGCTATTTTTTTTTTTTTGAAAAATGAGGAAACACCAGAAATAATTTAATTTGTTACAAATATACACAAGTATTGAGGAAATGTGGCAGGCACAGCAGTAAAGGCAGAAAAGAAGCTTCAGCTTTGTGCCTTTTATTTTTGTCGGATAGCGTCAATTTAGCAGGCAAACGTTTTAAGGGCTTTCATGTTATTTTGCCTATTCTGTTTTCCTCCTTTTATTTCTCTTCCTTTTCTCTCTCACTTTCTCCGGCATATATATATGTGTATGCTGAAGCGATAAGGAAAAATAAATTGGCACTCGGAGAATTTTTGATAAAGGAGATGGTTTCCTTTTTTTCCTCCTTATTTTTAAGGCTTGTTAGGCTCGTTATAGATTAAAGTTATTTTTATTTTCTTCCTCCATCCATTGTTTTTTTTTGTACCCCATTTTCTGTTGCTCTGATCTATCAAGCTGCTTATAAAATAAGCTTTTATTTTTGTATCATTTTGCAGTTTCTTCTTAGCTGAATTGATTGAATAAATGAATCGTAAGAGGAATGTTTTATTGTAGCTTATATAATTTTAAATCTCATAACAAAGCTAATTTGTCTTATTTTTCAATGAAAGAAATTCTTCGAGATTGTAATTCTATAACATTGAAGAAAAAGGAAGCAGCTAGGGAGTCAGGGGGTTTAAAAATTTATTTTTCATTCAAAAAAATAATTAAACTTTTTTCCTAAGGTTTGGAAATAATAAATTAGATTTTGATCTTTTTTGATAATTTTTAAACAATTTTGATGATTTTTGGACCATTTTTGATCATATTTTGATCATTTTCGATCAGTTCCGCACCCTTGTTTTCTCCTCAAAAAATTATAGGAAGGAGCCGAGCTCTCAAATACAGCCCTGATTACCAACTCTGAAAAATAAAAAGAAAATTAAAGAATTCCGTGAACAAAGGTTCAACAATGGATTGATTTTCGTTCCAAGTGCTTAAAACTCTTTCGAAATTTTATTAAACGCCGATTATTTTGATAAAAAAGACAAAAGAAGGTCGTAAAATAAAAAGAATTTTTATTGATTTTGTTTTCACCTTTTCAAGGCTAATGAGAACTGTATTTCAAGGCTGTTGGAATTTCCAAAATATTTTCATCTTATTTTTCCTAAACAACATTAACATTTTGTTATTGAGGACGTATAAAAAAGTATTGAATATATCCAGGCAAAAGTATATATTTTTCTCCGTGCTCTTGTTTAAAAATTTAAAATTTCATTAACTTTGCAGATATCTTGAATGATAATTTGCAGCATCAAGAGACTTTTCAATTATCTTTTACTATCATTTTAAGCAAGAAAAGAGAAGAAAAAAAATTCTCATTATTATTTATTGAATGTAATCTTTAGCAAGCAAGCAAGTCTGCATGCTATGGAGCATTGAGGAAAATAAAGGAAAGAAAAATGGAGGCAAAGTGAGACCAAGAGACTGAGAAAAATGTCAAGTGAGTGGTATTGAGTGGGCTTTTGAGTGGATCTGATAATGAGATCGTCGAGAATTGTGTAAACCAGCTTCGACGCTTTAGATGGGATATACATAAGAAGTTAAAGTGAAAAGAATGGAAAGCAATTATCGAATTTTCCTTTTTCCACATTTCACATTTTCTTTGCTTTCAAATTTAATTGCCACATAGAGTACAAGGAAAAAAAAAGTATGTGAAGCACACTGCAGATCATGGCATTATATAAATTAAAAAGTTAAGAACAACTTATTATTTTCCCGCGCATTTTAAAAACTTGTAAGAACATTGGCAAATGACAAAGAGACTTAATAGGATTTTATTCACGGTTCAATTGATTCAAATGCATTAAAAGCAAATAATGACTTTTCTATTCATTTTATTGAAATATAAAACGATGAACTTACAACTGAATCATATCATTATGAAATGAATGTAGGACAAACTACGAAGGAAAATTAATGAGATTATTAAATCTTTTAGAATGACGATATCATTGTCAAATGGATGTCGAACGAGTTTCATTACATTTCTAATATCGATAATATAAATATTTTCGTGGTTTATTATGATAATAATTGTCATTAGGTATTCTATATCTCAGCATAGTATCTCCATTGATATTATTGTTATGATTAGATCGTCATACACATATCATCGCAATAAATTCCAAATTTGATGAAATGAAAGTGATATCAACTGTAATAGTAGAAATGGTATCAATTATTTTCAAGCATATGCGTGTAAAAGTATCATATGGCATAGGTGAAATCAATATTTAATTTTGTGATGTTTTTTCTATGATTTCAACAATTTTAAAAATGACGATTTTTTTTTTCAATTTTTATTAAAATACTTACGCAGCTTTTAATCCAGTTGATAAGTACCCTAGAGATATAAAATGAAATTATATAGTAACACTCGTTGTTGTAGCTTTATTTAGACAACAGACATTCAAAAGTCAATATTTTGAATAATCATTCATCATATCTCGAATGCTAATACTTAAGTACACAATGAAAATTTTCAGTCCGCAAAAATAATTTTCCATTATTTTCCTTTCATTAGTCATTATTTTTTTTTAAAACTCATTCAAAAAGCAGCAGCAGAAAACTTTTGAAACAGAAAATGAGTTAAGCGTAAACTGGTAAATATTTATGACAGCTGAACACATTTCTTGAGCTTCCATAACGAACAGAAATTGACAAGTTGAAGGGTAATTATTTTCTTTTCATTTTGTTTTTCGCTTCATCTTCATTTAATAAACACAAAAAAAAAATTTCCATTTTAAAACACTCGCTAGCTTTTCTAATCTCGTACTTAGAATTTGTAAATATTCTGGATGAACGAATAAATTGTGAAAATTTCAAGAGCTTAGAATAGATTCAAAAATACTTAGAAATCTTTTAATAAAAGCTTTGTTTTAAAATTGAAAATTTAAATGAAACCTTTTAAGAGCTTTTTAGTTGTTGAGAAACTTTACACTAATTACGTAAGGAGCAATTCACTTATGGTTGGGGGGGGGGGGGGTTAAAATTAGTTTTATTTTCTCGGATTATTTTGAAGAAAATATTATTAAGCCCTTCAAATTATCCATCGTCCCGCCCCTCAACTTCTAGCTTTCTTTGACCCACACAATGTACACAATTTAAAGCAGTGTTGTCCAAACTGTGTGCCGTAGGACATCCTTAGGTGTTCCGTGGAAAAATATTAAAAATCCAAAAAATAGGTAGTTTTTAATAAATTTGTAGATTTTAAACTAGATAAAATCTTAGTGAGGACATCTTAGTAAGGAATTGCTGGTTTATTTTGTGGTTCTTTCAGTCAAAGCTGAAGTGGCTCCGTTGCGGAATGGTTTAGTACTTCGGTACCTAATTATTTAAAAATTGACACAGCGATCTTCGAGAGGTTCGGGACTGGGTATTGGAAATTTTTCGCTTGTCCTTCCTTTTTCGAATCATATGTACTAGAAATGAGGCTCACAGCCTTCTTTTGTAGGCCACAGACAGAACTATTATCAAAGGAGTGGTTCGGATTCCACTATAAATTGTGGGTCTAGGTTTGAGTGCAGTGGTTTGGCACATCCTTACTTGTTAAACTCTCATTAGCTGCAAAACGCCCTATCGCTCTTCTGGATCCCAATTGATCTGAATAGCTTGTTTTTTGAGTCAAAGCAGCCCTTCTTGTCACGCTCCTGCAAAGGATTATAAAAATTATTTGGATTAATATCATTTCATCAAAAATTAATGTTTTCTGTTCTGCTAACTCTCCCTTATTTCAAAATAATCTAAG